TTTTTTGTTGTTGTTGGGAGATTTTTTATTGATTTATCTCACTGATTGTTATTGGTCTGTTGAGGATTCCTTTTGCTTCCTGGTTCAATCTTGGGAGGTTGTATGTTTCCAGGAATTTGTCCATTTCCTCCAGGTTTTCTAGTTTATGAGCATAATACTCTCTGATGCTCTTTCGTATTTCTGTGGTGTCAGTTATAATGTCTCTTTTATTTTTAATTATGTTTATTTGGATCTTCTCTCTTCTTGGTTAGTCTAGCTAACTGTTTACCAATTTTGTTTATCTTTTCAAAGAACCAACTTTTTGTTTTATTGATAATTTATATTGGGTTTTTTGGTGTCTATTGCATTAAGTTCTACCCTGATCTTCATTATTTCTTTTCTTCTGCTAGCTTTGGCTTTTGTTTGTTCTTTTTTCTGCCTAGATCTTTGAGGTGTGACATTAGGTTGTTAATTTATGATCTCTGTATTTTTTTGGATATAAATAACACCATAAATTTCTTTCTTAGCATTGCATTTACTGTTTTCCAGAGGTTTTGGTATGTTGTGTCTATTTTAATTCATTTTAAAAAAATTTTACATTTCTGCCTTAATTTCATTGTTTACCCAAAGATTATTCAGGAACACATTGTTTAATTTCTGTGTATATGTGTAGTGTCTGAAGTTCCTTCTGGTGTTGATTTCTAGTTTTATTTCACTGTGGTATGAGAAGTTGGTTGGTATGATTTTGAGTTTTAAAAATTAGTAGGTACTTGTTTTGTGGCCTAACATATGGTTTATCTTAGATAATATTCTATGTGCTGATGAGAAGAATGTTTATTCTGCAGTTGTTGGGTAGAATGTTCTATAAATGTCAGATCCATTTGGCTTGAAGTCCAATTTAAGTCTTTTTATTGATTTTCTGTCTCAGTGATCTATCTAGTGCTGATTAGTGGGGTGTTGAAGTCCCCCACAATTATTGTATTTTTGTTTCTTTAGGTCTAATAATATTTATTTTATGAATCTAGGTGCTCTGGTGTTGGGTACATATATATTTTGGATTCTTATATCTGCTTGCTAAATTGATGACCTTATCATTATATAATGATTTCTTTGCCTTTTTTATTTTTGATTTAAAGTCTAGTTTATCTGATACAAGTATAACTACTCCTGCTCGCTTCTGGTTTTCATTTCTTGGAATATCTTTTTCAGTCCATATGTATCTTTATTTTCAGTCTATATGTGTCTTTACGGGTAAGGTGAATTTCTTGTAAGAAGCACATAGTTGGATAATTTTTTTTATCCATCCTGCTAATCTGTATCTTTCAAGTGGAGTATTTCATCCATTTATATTCAGGGTTAATATTGATATGTGAGGTTTTGTTTTTGTCATATTGTTAATTATCTAGTTTTATAAATTTGTTGCTTTTATTTTCTCTGTTGTTTGGTGGATTTCTGTCATGTTGCCATTTGATTCCTTTCTCGTCCTCCTTGGTGTAATTGTTTTATAAGACCTGTGATTTTGTACTTTCATGTATTTTTATGATGATGAATATTGATCTTTTGTTTCCATGTTTAGCACTCCTTTGAACATTTCTTTCCCTTAGCATTTGCTTATCTGGCAAAAACTTTATTTCTCCTTTATTTATGAAGCTTTTCTAGTTGGATATAAAATTCTTGTCTGACAGGTTTTTTTTTTTTTTTTAGCACTTTGAAAATAGCATCCCATTCTCTTCTGGTTTGCAAGGTTCCTGCTGAGAAGTGCGCTGTTAGTCTGATGGCATTTCTTTTATAGGTAACTAGATGCTTTTCTCTTGCTGATTTTAGAATTCTTTTCTTTGCATTGACTTTAGACAATCTGATCACTATATGGCATAGGGAAGTCCATTTTTCAATGTATTTTCCTGGGCTTCCTGTATCTAGATGTCTAAATCTCTTCCTCAATTATTTCTTTAAATAGGTTTTCCAAACTTTTTGCTTTTTCTTCTTCCTCAGGAATACTGATGACTCATAAGTTCGATTACTTTATGTCTCGAAGGCTTTGTTCATTCTTTTTTCTTTTTTCTCTATTTTTGTCTTACTAGATTAATTCAAAAGACTTGCCTTTGAGTTCTGAAATTCTTTCCTCTGCTTGGTGTACTCTGTTGTTGCAGTATTTTATAATTTCTTCAATGAATTTTTTATTTCCAGAAGTTCTGTTTGGTTTTTCTTTTTAAGATATCTATGTCTTTGGTAAATTTTTCATTCATATCCTGAATTGATTTTCAGATTTCTTTTTCATCTCATTGAGCTTCTTTACAATTAATAATTTGAATTCTTTATCTGGAATTTCGAGTATTTCTTTTTGGTTAGAATCCATTGCTAGAGAATTACTGTGTTCTTTTGGAGGTGTTATAGTACCTTGCTTTTTCATACATCTTGTATTATTATGCTGATTTCTTTGAATGTGGAGAAACAATTGCTTCTTATTTTTGAATTTACTTTCCCTGGAAGCAGGAATTTTTTTCTTGAGGATGTGACTGTGATGTACATGGAGTAAGGTCACTTGGCTTCACTTTTGAGTGCATTTAGTGGCTAAGACTGCATGATTTCCTTGGTTGTAAATAACCTCAGTGTGGTGGCTTTCTCAAATGCCATTTGTAGTAGCAGTGTACTAGGCAGGCGAATGAGATCATGTCTTTCTAAGTAGCTGGGTTAGCATGGGCAATGGGACAAGCTCTCTTGTTCCCAAGCACTGTGCACTTGTGTTAGTAGATGTTGTTATAATGGGCTGTGTGCGTCAACCTCCAGTCCAGTAGGTGGTGCTTGAAGATAGGAGCCAGCTGCAGTGGTAGCAGTAGGGTTTATCCAAGCCTCTGTTAACAGAGAAGTGCTAGGGAACCTGCAACCTTAAGGCTAGATGTGGCCTTCTAGATCCTTAAGTGTGGCCTTTTCACTGAATCCAAATTTTGCAGAACAGATCCTTTTATTAAAAGTAGTCCAGCAGAGAAAGATGAAGCTTTTCTTGCTCCATTTGGTACTTAAAAAAATCTTGAAATCAGAAAGCTTCAGGTTCCCCACCACTGGAAGCCGCTGGGCAAGCCTGCACTTTGGCTTCTCATTGGCAGGGTACGATCACCAGCCCTGAGGGGTTTGGAGTCTAGGCTCCTAGAGAAATGCCCAGGCAAGGAGTAGAGCAACTGCTGCTGTGCCAGGGTCTCAGCGCAGGAGGAGGGGGAGTGATCCTGCACCATAGCCAAGAGAGTGGGAGTGGGACATTCTCTCTCATGCCCTTGACCTGGTGGGGCTTAGCCACCAGTTTGTCTCTGTCATGCCCTTGACCTGGTGGGGCTTAGCCACCAGTTCCTTTCTAGTCTGTGTTGCTGCCACAATCTGTAAAACTCACTGCCTGGGTCAAAACCATGCTTTCCAGGCAAATCTGCTCTAGTCCTGTGAAGAGGGGAAGCCCTATTCTAGTGCCTGTGGCAAGAGCCCACATTTCACTTGTTTCTCAGTTTTGTCCCCTGCTTGAGACCCAGATCTCCAATCCCCAGCCCAAGTCTCTCTAATGCCAACAGCTGCTGCCAGCTTGCAAGATCCTACATAGCTTGATATGAACTAGGATTGAGAATGGCATCCTCCTCTCAGTACCCAGGTCTGGAAAAGTGGGTGAGATACTTCACAGAGTCCTTTCTTCTCACAGTCTCCTGGCTGCTCTTCAAGTTAGTTCCAGGGCTTAGGAAGGTCAAAGTGTTCTCCTGTGGCCTGCATTTCATGATTCCCTAGTGGGAGGGTGGATTGCAGAGAGACATTCACTCTCCCTCTTCTGTATTTGAGATTCACTCATGGTTTTCAGCCAGACCCCACCCACCACACTGCTTACCTTCTCTTTTCCAGTAGCTGAAATTTTATTTCACTTTTCTGTTGAACTCTCATGTTCCTTCTTGGAACCTTCTTGTGAATTAATGTAGTGTGAATCTTTACACAGTATTTTGCTTCTTCCATGTGAGTGAGGCATGCAGTTTTGGAAAAAAAATAGATAAAAATATCAAACAAAACAAGGTAAAAATCTGACAATTCTAAATTGAAATTGGAAATAGTAATATGAATTCCTGATGTGGTTTCTTTTAAAAAGGCATAGAAACAGTGACCAACTTTTGGTACCCGATCATGTACTCTGCATACCATTTAAAAGAATAAGGCGTTTTGGAGGAAAGCCCAATTACATGTCTAGGACAGGAACATCTTGTCATAGGAAACAAGGAAAGTATTCAAAGAACACCGGGGACAAGTCAAAGGGCTTATTGGCCTACATGAATGGGCTCCTACTAACCAGAGATAGAACAGTATGTGTCTCCAAATAATAATAACTGCAGTGGATTAAAACACATCAAATATGTTAATATCGATGAATTTATAATGTTAAAAAAGCTTGATTTTAGAAAGAACCATAGGAGTAGAAAACTGACATCTAATTCAATTAAGATTATATATAAAGTATTTTGAAAATTTAAATTTCTGATCAAATACAATTTATAAAAATGTTTAAAAGTATAAAATTATAAAATGGTTTAGGTTAAAATGATCTCATAAGTTCTTTTCTGCTTTAATTTTTTATTTGAAATTTGCATCTATACTTACTATAATTTTTATTATAACTAATATAAGGCTATTAAACTTTATGCTATATTTAACTTTGTGTTATTATGATATTTATCTTAAAATTGGTAGGTAATTTTATTGTGAAATGTGAATGTATAGTGAAAAAAAGCCAAATGTCAATTAAGTAGAGCAAATCAGTAAACAAATTTCTGGAAAAAGCCAAATAGTAAACACTTTAGGCTTTGCTGGCCATACCATCTCTATTACAATTACTCAGCTCTACCATTGTAGTATGAAAACAGCCATATACAGTCTGTAAATTAATACATTTATTGGCTGTGTTCCAATAAAATTTTATTTGTAAAAACAGGTAGCAGACCTTGATACAGATTATTGGACTTTTTTTGTTGTTTTTTTTTAAACCTTTATTTCTTTATTCCTAGGTACAAGGGACCACTGTTAGAAGAGCAAGCCCTTACTAAGGCAGCAGAGGGTGGACTATCTTCACCTGAATTTTCAGAGCTCTGTGTTTGGTTAGGCTCTCAAATAAAATCATTATGCAACTTGGAAGAAAGTATCACTTCAACTGGTATTGCCATTATGTTTTATTTACTTTTCTGTTTAATGATAAAATGAACTGATAATTTTTGATTTATAGTTTTATCAACAATGTGCACACAGTACAAAGAAAAATCACTAGTATTACAAAGAACTTCAATATGTGATACTAAAAATCTTTGGTTTAAAGGTTTATTAATCCAAAATTTATTTTTAAATGTGTTATAAAATGATAAGCAATTACTATTTATCTTCTGTCTTAACCTCAGTGTTGTTCTTTAGAAAAAGTAGAGTCTGAATTCAGTGATTTAAGAGTTTAATTTATGAAAGTTGTTCATGTTGAATTAAGGTGTTTTTTTTTTTTTTTAAATACATGTAATCCCAAATTTAAATTGTATTCCCACGCCTGTGACTAAGGACATGGACTCACATAGGAATACTTTTATTTTTAAAATACTGCCTTGCTAGCTCATAAAGCTTATTTAATTCATCACTATCTTGGTAACTGAGTCATAGGTCTTCATAGAATTTCAAATAATGTAATAAAATGAAAACTTAAAAATTATTGGGCATTTGTTACAGGGCAACATAGCTTTATTATTTTTTTAAAGAGATAGCGTCTCACTGTGTGGCTTAGGCTGGACTTGGACTCCTAGGCTCAAGTGATCCTCCTGCCTGAATCTCCAGAGTAGCTGGGACCACAAGTGGGAGCCACCAAACCTGGCCTATACTTATATTTAAATTGTTTTTTTTCCTTGCCAAATTTAACAGAATTCACTTGAAGCAAAGTAAAATAATCTGAATTCCAAACATTGACACAAATTCCTACATAATTGTATTATAAAATAGACATAAGCAGGGAGGCTCAGTTAAATGATTGCATTTATTATCTGAACATACAGAAACACAATAGAAATAGATTATTTGCTCTGAAGTCAATTAATAACTGTAGCCATAAATAATGCTTTTAATATTTTAGTTGCTAACATATTTCCAGCTTATCTGCTTTTATGGAGAGTCCAGTGGAAGAGATTTGTCAGGGATTTAAATATAAAAATATTTAAAATCTCATTAGATACTTATGTTTTTAAATTGATGTCTCTGTTTTAAAATTTGTGTCACTTTCTGTATGTAGAAATGTTTTGGTTACCTTTAAGCTTTGAATCACACATCTAAGGATTTAATATGAAAGTAAAAATTTAGAGCCGGGCGCGGTGGCTCACGCCTGTAATCCTAGCACTCTGGGAGGCTGAGGCGGGCGGATTGCTCAAGGTCAGGAGTTCGAAACCAGCCTGAGCGAGACCCCGTCTCTACTAAAAATAGAAAGAAATTAATTGACCAACTAAAAGTATATATACAAAAAATTAGCCGGGATGGTGGTGCATGCCTGTAGTCCCAGCTACTTGGGAGGCTGAGGCAGAAAGATCGCTTGAGCCCAGGAATTTGAGGTTGCTGTGAGCTAGGCTGACGCCACGGCACTCACTCTAGCCTGGGCAACAAAAGTGAGACTCTGTCTCAAAAAAAAAAATTTAGAATTGAATATAAAATTTGAATAAACTAGTAGTAGATTTTTATAGTGTCAGTTATATGGTAAATACTCAGTAAATGTTTTATGATTTTCCTTTTTTAAGGGAGAGATGATCTAGAGAGCTTCCAGCTTGAAATAAGTGGTTTTTTAAAAGAAATGGCATGTCCGTATTCTGTACTCATATCAGGAGATATTAAAGACCGTTTAAAAAAGAAGGAGGACTGTTTGAAACTTCTATGTAAGTTACCTTTCCTTGAACATTTAAATGCATATATTTGATCTGATTTTTGTTATTCTCAAGTCAAAATTTATGCAGTTTCATTAATGAAGCATTAGACATTTTGTATATTAAAAATGTTTTAATATTGACTGAAAATATGAAGATATTTCAGATATTTTCATAGAACATAGTAAAAAGTTCTAGTATACCCACTGACACTTGTGATTTATTTGACCAATATAAAATGCCCTGTGTTTGTGATTTATATAGTACTTCAGAAATTTTTCCATCACCTAATCTATTCTCATAGTGTTTATGACTATATGGCTAAAGTTGATGATCTCCAAAGTTCAATTTAATCTTAAAACTCTCTGAAACTAGGCTAAGTGGATTATTATATCTTATTTTTGGTGATAGGCACTGCATGATAGTTTGTTCAGAAATATTTATTGATCACCTACTCTTGTACCAGGAACTGCTCTAGATACTAGGGATATACCATTAAAAAAAAGAGATAAAAGAGTACCTAAGTTTGGCCTGTTTTCATCAGGGAGGGATTCAGAGTATAGATTACTCTGTATTCAAACAGTTACCATAAATAATAGATCCATTTGTTTGTATTGGGTCCTTTCAAATTATTTTTACTTCAGTTTAATTTTATTCTATTTATAAAGTTCTAGGGACAGTGGCCATTTTTCTAACATCTTCTGTTTTTGAAAATTTCTATTGTAGGTTGTACCATTTATAAAAAGATCCCGTGTGACATATTCCTCCTAGTCTTTAGTGTTAGTAACGTTTGTTTCATTAAAGTGGAAATTGTGTGTGTGTGTGTGTGTGTGTGTGTGTGTGTGTGTGTATGCATGTGTTTAGTGGCAATAGAAGTGTTGGCATTTAAATTATCTTGTGTTTTGAGGGAGCATAAAAGTGATGTCCCTTCCCCCCCAACCCCCCCAGTTCTTATACTGTTTCTCAATCTTCCTCACATTTGGTTTGAGTCACTGATTTAATGAACCACTATTATTAACGGGAGGTCACAGTAACCCTTAAGTATGTTGGGACAGAAGAACCTAGGAAGTACCAGCCTAGAGGAACTCGTATACTCTTATTGTCAGTCAATGAGAACTAAGTAATTCATCATGGTTCCCTTTTTGCCTTAGCTGCTAAGAAGCTCAGCAATAATAGTGATATTAATTTCTGGTACAAGTAAAAATAAAGAAGAGATATAAGATATAAAAACAGTTGATATAGTTATTTCTGATTATAAAAATTCATCTCTGGGAGGGTAGTGAAGGGGAGTTAGTGTTTAATGAGTACAGAATTTCAGTTGGGAAAAATGAAAAAGTTGTAGAGATGGGTGGTGGTGCATAACAGCATCAATATATTTAATGCCACGGAGCCGTACACTTAAAAATGGTTAAAATGGTAAATTTTATATGTCCTTATCTTAGAAATCTTAGAAAGTAGATAAAATATAAAGAAGAAAAGCATTTATAATCTCACTCTCTAGAGAGAATCATGAATAACTTTTTGGTATACTTCCTTTCTCTTTTCTGTGTACACACACACACACACACTCAAATAAGATTGAGGTCCTGTTATAGATGCAATTCCTTCTCTTCTTCATTATTGTCCTCCTCTTTGTTTCCCCATCACTTAATATTTTTTGAATAAATAATTTAAAATGGCTACATAACATTTTATGTTACCAACATAACATTTTTATTTAATAGACTTCAAATTTGGAGGTATCTGGATTTTTTTCCCTATTTTAAAATAATTTCTTTCTTTATATTGTTGGTTACTTTTATTTAGACAAAGATTATGAACATTCGCAATATCTCTTATCTACATATGTATTGCCATATTTTGCTCTAGAAAGGTTATAACAATTCACAATCTTACCAGCATTTATTTCTTCTTATCTTTAGTTTGACTGTTTTAATCATATTGGCATAATAAGCTTCTTCATGTTATTCTTGGAAATGTTTGCAACATGTATAAAATAAAAAGGGCCAAATTCCTTACTGTGTGAAGAGCTTTTATAAATCAAGAGGAAAAGAGAAAAACTCACTGGAAAAATGTGTAAAGTACTAAGGACATGAACATGGATGCTACAGAAAAAAAGTTTAAAAAAAATTGCTTCTGGCATGAAAAGATGCACAGTATTACTAAAAGAGTTACAAATATAAAATGACAGGATACCATTTTTTATTATACTTATCAGGCTAGGAAAGACCAATAATAACAACAAAATGTCATAATACAAGTTTGGGGGAATAAGCATGTAAATATTCTCATATACTACAAGCAGTAGACTATGGTGGGAGAATAACTTGTACAACCTTAAGGAGTGTATATTTTTAATGTTACAGTTAAAATTCACCTGCCTTTTGACTTGGTAATTCTGTGTCTAGGAATATATATCTATTCCCCTAAGTGTACAAAGATATATGAAAAGGATGTTCATTATTACACTGTAGTAGCAAAAAAACTAGAAACCTGAGTGTGCATAAATAGAAGTGGTACGTTTATGCAGTAATATCACTAGATAGCTATTAGAAAGAGTGAGATTAGACTGGTCTGATACGGAATGATCTCTGAGATATGTTGGTAAATAAAAAACACATCGAACATTTATAGTATGCTCTTTATATAAAAGAAACAAAAGCTTATAGATGGTGAATATGTGTACTGAATATATACACACATATATGCCGATTTTAAAAGATACCCAAGAAACTAATAATAGTGATTGCCTCTGGAGAGGGAGTGTCTAAGGATCTGTGATGGGAAGAAGACTTACTTTTTCCCTATATTATTTACTGCCAGTATGGATTAATATCTTAAATAGACTAAACTGTGCCATTATGTAGAGAGAAAGCTTGTTTCCATAGAGCAAAGGTAGACTTCAGGTAAGGTGTTATCCAAAATATAAATTTTTCAAGAACTGATAATCTGTTTTAATGAGGTTTCTAGGTCAGAGGAACCTTAGCATAGTCCTCATGAGCAAAGTTTGATAGAGATTGATCTTAACTTTTTGGTACTTGGCTCTTTAGATTGTCATGTGTAGATTGTGTGAGAAAGTCTGTAAATAAGTGGCTCTCAGTCCTGCCTGCCAATGACAATCACCTTGGGTCTAAAACAGACCATGCAGATGCCCAACTCCTACTTCAGATCTATTGGCTCAGCATCTCTGAGAATGGGACCCTGGCACCTGTACTTTCAAACAATTTTTTAGGTATTTCTTCTGCTTAGCTGAAGTTAAAACTGCTATATTAAGTTGGGCACACGTGTGTGTTTTAGATAATTTTAAACAAATAAAAAAATCTTAACTGTAGTGCAAAGTTAATTTAAAGCAAGACTATAACCATGTAAGAATTTTGAGTAATTTTCTTAAATATGGCTGTTGAAAGAATTAAATGAAATGGTGAAAGTAAAGGGACATGTAAATAAACAGCTTGAGGTGATCTTTCCTGACTTAAATTGCTCTGCTTATAGATCACTTAGAGCTGTGTTTCCCCCCTGTCCTGAGCACTTTGTACATATGAGAGAGAATATTTTACCACGGTCTTATATATTCTTATACATTCTTGAATTGTTGATTTGCTGGTGAATCTCACCTACTTGGTTTTAAACGCTTTGAATGTGTCTCTAATTTGACTTTGCATCCCCATTGTCTACCCGGTGCCTGGCTCAGAATAGGCCCTTGGTAAATATGTACTTAGTGAATAGCAATCTAGATCATTTAATATGTTAATTAAAATGAAACTGAAATCAGCTAGTGTAAAATTAAGGAGAATGAAATGAGCCATTCATTTATTCTCTGATAGTATTAAATAAATGTATTTTAGTTAAACCTCTGTAGGTAAAGTAGGTGAAAGTGAAGCTGCTGTTACAGGTGCCTGGATCCTTATGTGCTTAACTCTAGTGGGAACTTCTCAGGCTCCTCCAATGTGAAAAACAATCAACCATTTAAAGTATAGCATAAATACATTTATTTTTGAGTATCTACTTTATATAGCTTTAGTTAATTTTTTTTTCTCGTCTCATTTTAAAGTTTACAGCGTTCTACAACTGTTACTGCTCTTTCGATTTTCTAAGTTGGTATTGCTATTGGTGTTCTTAATATTTGTTTTCAGTGAATAATTTCAGTGAAATATTTCAAGAAATTCTTGTGCATGTATTAACATTTGATTTTCTCTTTATTATTTCTCTTTATTCTTTGTTATAGTATTTTTAAGTACAGAACTTCAAGCCTCACAGATATTACAGAACAAGAAATGTAAAAATTCTCAATTAGATAAAAATAGTGAAATTCATCAGGAAGTTCAAGCTATGTGTGATACCCTTGGTGTACCCAAGTCAACAACTTCTGACATTCCACTTATGCTAAACCAAGTGGAATCAAAGGTATAATATTTGTTTTACTTTTTAATTTCTAAAAAATTCAACTAAATGCTAAATGTAAATGTTACATTAAAAATGAAAATATACCCTTTAAGTGATATACATTTCATTTCTTGAGAAATTTATTTTATGTAAACTGAATTTTGGATTTGAGCTTAATATACATGTGACCTAATTTGTCTAAAGCTAATGTTCAGGAATCAAATCTTAGTGAGTGAGTGCCCTTAGACTTTGCTAGGGTTTGCCATGATAGAAATCATTTTGCAAATTTAAGGATCACTTTCCTAACCAGGATTATAATAAAGTGTGATGAAAGAAGCAATGTTATCTATCCTACAAAGTCAAAAGGCAAACTATTCTTTTTTAATGGATGTTAATATTAATAGAATTGCAATGTGGTTTATTTGGCAGTGAGCATGCATGGTTTCTGGTGGATAAGTGTTTAGTGAATATGTATTGTGTAGAGAATGGATGATGAATGTATGAGTGTCCTAGTGGAATAGTTAAAAACAACCACAAACTGTGTACTTCATGCATCTAAAAAGATTTTTTTTTAAATTAATGAAGTACCCTTGCTCCCAGTTGAGCCATGTATTAGAGAGCATGCTACTCTTGCAGACCGAATTCTGGCCTTGTTCCTAGGTTTCATCTGTTAAATATGGAGTCCTATAGGGAAATAATATAAGATCTATTGTAAAGGAAAATAAAATTTTCCTAACCCTCAAGAATTGGTACTATAACTCCATTTTTAGACACATTGCCTTAATTAAATCCTTGTTCAATAAAGATCTCTTTTGCATTGATAGTTAATGAACCAGAAAATAATATTTGTCTTAATGAATGTAAGAGAATTTTATTATTAAGATGAAAACAGAATATTAAAATTTTATTTTTTAGAACTTGCAAACCAGAGAATAAGTCTGTGAATCTTATGAAAAATGAAAAACATTTCTCTAGAGTTAATTTACCTTCAGAATATTTGCCTCCTTTCCTCTGGATTAAGAATGATCTGGGGTTGGTTAAAATTTCTGGAACCATTTCATATTGAGATGGATTTCTGGGCTCTTCCTAATCTTCCAGTGCTTGCACATATTGATCCAAAAGAGTCTTTTTCCTTTTATTGTTTTCAGTAATTATTAACAACATCTCAAATCCTTTTCCTTACTTGAAGCAGGCTGTAAGGCCTATGTTCAAATACTGGCAGACTATAATAAGTAATTCTCAAACTTATTAAAACTGTTATCTAATGTTGAAATTGTAGGAATGGAGCTGAATGTGATTATATGTAAGAACCTATAGATATGCATTAAGAATTCCTCGAGTGAGGAGTTACAGCTAACACTTTTAGCAATATATGAAGTAATATAAAATTGGAGATATTTAAAATAGTTAAGGAATCCACAGAAATGATCTGTTTTAAGAAAATAAGTTAGTTCCTTAAAATAGTTGAGGAATCCACAGAAATGATCTATTTTAAGAAAGTTGGTTCCTTAAAATATATAGAAATTGTTTGAGTATAGTAAGTATTTCACTGTTATAGAGGTAGATTTGCTATGAAACTACTAAAGCTTATTAATTAAGCTTTGGAGAGCCTCATTTGCACCAGTTCTTTCTAAGCTACTTTTTTTTTTTAAATATCTTTCTCAAAATAAAATCATGCCATAAAATTCACTCATTTTAAGTGTATAATTTAGTGAATTTTAGTATATTTATAGAATTGTACAACACATCACCAAAATCTAATTTTAGAACATTTCCATCATTCTCAAAAGAAACCTTGTGCCCATTTACAGTTGCTTTCCATTACCATGCCAGTGTCCAAGCTAATTTTGAATTCTTTTTCTTAAAGAGAGCCTCCAGTATTAAAGATGATTCATACTTCTCTAAATCTGAATTGTTCCTGATTGTTTCCCCTGGTTACCTTATTTATTTATTTATTTAGCTAATGAAGGATTCTCCCATAGGAGAGTAAATTATTGTTACTGGAATGCCCTCTGATAATGCTAAAGGAAAAGTAAACACCTAATATCTTGTTTACCAAAATAAAAATATTTCAAATAATTTAAATTTGTGACTTTGCAAAGGTAAGGAAAGTGTGTATGTGATGACTGTAATTGACTATAATTATTCCCTTCTGTTGTCTTGCTGAATAATGAAACCAGATTGTATACAACTGGAATATGTACATAGTATTATTTGAGAAAAGTCATTGTGCTGATGGTCAAAGGTTTAGTATCCCTCTTGAAAATTTTCCAGGAAGAGTGCCATTTTAAGTAGAAACTCCAAAATTATTTCCTTAAGTCACAGATTCTCATAGTAGAAACTTATAATAGGTACTTCTTCAGTTATCTATGTACATTATTTCTTATTTTGTAAAAGAAGGTGTTCTGTAACTTGATTGAATGCATTTAGTGCTTTTTTTGAAAAATATATTCTGTTATTCCATAGTGTAGTAAATTTCTTTCCTGGTGTATGAAGGTATATTTTAATTATTTCACTTAACATTTTATTAGTACTTACTTTCTAGTGTTCAGAACCGTACTTTAAACAAGAATAAGATTGTTTTAAATTAGGGATATACATTTTCACATCTTTTATTTACTTTTAGGTGAAAGATATTCTCTCAAAAGTCCAGAACAATCATGTGGGAAAGCCACTGCTGAAAATTGATTTAAATCCGGAACAGGCGGTAAATCCCCTTCTTATTAGTTTTATGTAATTAAATTAGTGAGTATGACTTAATTTTATAAATGAACATCTAGATTTTATAGTATGTAGCATGCATGTGTTATTTTTGAGAATTAAAATGGATTGATATTCTGAAATAATATGTCCTAACATTTCTTCAATCAAATTATTAATTTAAAAAACACCTGGCCAAGAATATTTATAGTCCCCAATATTTTAGCACAGTTGTGATTCGAAGAGCATAGTGTCTCAAAGCCATAAGATGAGAAGTTACTGGTATTTTCTATCCTTATTAGTCCAGACTACTTAGCAAGTAAATGTTTTATTTATTTTACTTATTTATTTATTTTTGAGACAGGGTCTTGCTCTGTTGCCTGGGCTAGAGTCCCTTGGCCTCAGCGTAGCTCACAGCAATCTTAAGCTCCTGGGCTCAAGTGATACTCCTGGCTCAGCCTCCAAGTAGCTGGGATTATAGGCACATGCCACCATACCTGGCCAATTTTAGCAGAGACAGGGTCTTGCTGTTGCTCAGGCTGGTCTCAAACTCCTGACCACAAGTGATCCTCCCACCTCAACCTCCCAGAGTGCTAGGATTACAGGTGTGAGCCACCTTGCCCAGCTGTAAATGTTTTATTTGAATTAACATGTTTGATGGAAGATAACTCTACCAGTAGTAGAGTTTAATTTATATGTTTAATATCTTCTGAATATCATAAATGTTCTATCAAATACTCTATTTAAATATTTTTATTCTAATGTCTCATGGGATCAGAAAAGGGTCATCAAGTACAGTATCTTTTGAATCAGTAGCAAGTATTTGCCACAGCTTTCAAATTTCTGTGCAGAATGAAAAAAATCTATGATTTTTGTTTCCAAATGCTTTAGCAACAGTTGGAAAGAATCAATGATGCTCTTTCCTGTGAATATGAGTGCCGCCGGCGAATGTTAATGAAACGACTAGATGTGACAGTACAGTCCTTTGGATGGTCTGATAGAGCAAAGGTAAGGCTGTTTTCCCATTTGTGTCCTGTAGGTGGTAGCCTGTGACAGCCCTTCAGGCTTGCTTATCTGTTATTATGTAACTATGCCACATTTGCACTTTATCACTATCTGAACCGCATACCTAGGCCAACTACTGGTCTTATGTGCTAATCTCAGTCTTATATAAATCCTTGTTGCAAATCACTTAATTTCTCCCCAAATCTGTGACATTTATTTTAAACTCATAGGTGTTGTGATTTATGCCAGGATATGCATAAAAGAAGGAGCATCACGTGAGGTAGTGACATAAATACAGTGAACAACTTATATCAAGAAAGCAGGGTATAGGAATAGTACTGATGCCAGAAGGTCTTTTTTCAAAAGTGTCCTTAAGGCTGGATGAATGTGGAGTACGTTTCAGTTGAAGAGGGGGTTGGGAGTTGGGGGCATTCCTAGTGAATTTCATCAGATAGCTTTCTAGAGATCTGGTCTCCCATTGCTCCCATTTTATACTTTAATCCAGGCGTCCTCAAACACATGCCGCATGCTGCCTGCCTAGGACATTTATCTGGCCCGCTGGGTGTTTTTGCCGCTGCTACCTGTCCTGCTTAGCAGCCGACTCATCCCAGGCCCACAGTGTGTACTCTCCAACAGTCTGAGGGACAGCCCCCTTTTTAAAAAGTTTGAGGACCCCTGCTTTAATCTGTATCAGGCTTAGTTTCAGATCACCTCCCACCCCTGCCTACCTCAGCATGCATTATAGCTTTGAAACTCTTTGGGCAGTAAGTTGGGACGATTATAAGGCTTCCCCTCATTCAGGGATCACTGTCCTGTGTTCCTTGATGTCCAGTGTCTTAAAATCATTGGTTCACATGGGTTGTTCAGTTTTTCAGTTGCTTTAGGTAGGAGCATAAATCTGGTTCCTTTTACTCTATCTTGACTACAAGTAGAAGTTCAGGTATTATTATTATTATTACATATTTTGGATTAACTGGGCAGTTCTTATGCCCCATGTTGTATCAGTTGGGGTCACTTATGCAGCTTCATTCAGCGGGTCCCTGGGCTGGGCAGGAACATCCAACATGGTTGTCTTACATGACTGGGTTCTTGGTGCTGACTCTCTGTTGTGCTGCTTCCATTCTCCTCTTGGCTTTCACATGATCTCTATTTCCATGTAGTGTCTTGTATTAGTTTCCTGTGGCTGCTATAACAAATTACCACAAATTTAGTAGCTTAAACAATACAGATTTATTCTATTACAGTCTGGAGATCAGAAGTCCTTGGCAGAGTTGCATTCCTCCCAGATGCTTTAAGGAAGGAAGAATCTGTTTCCTTACATTTCCTAGCTTCTAAATGCTACTTTCATATTTTGGCTCTTGGCCACATCTTCTATCTTCTAAGCCAGTAGCATCTAAGATCTTCTAGTCATTCTTTGCTTCCATTGTCACATTGCCTTCTTTTGTCTCTGACACTCTTGTCTCTCTCTTGTAAAGATCCTTGTGATTATTTTCAGCCCACCCAGATAATGCAGGATAATCTTTCCATCTCAAGATACTTAACTTAATCACATCTACAAGGTAATATTCACAGGTTCTAAGAATTAGCACGTAGAAGTCTTGGGGAGGGTCATGTGACCTATAGGTGTCTCATCTCCCTTTCTAATTGAATTTTATTTATTTATTGCATTAAATTTCTGCAATATGATAACATGCTTAGTTTTATTTTTAAATATTATTTTAAAAATTAGGTCTTCTAATGGGTTCTCCATTTTCTATGTGCGTTCCCTCTCAGAAACTTGTATCCTCTTACTGCAATTTGGGCTGTTTGCGTGGCTATCCTTGACTACTCCACTATTTTTTGGATCCCCTGGTCTGTGCTTTCATTGTTTTTCTCCTCATTATACTATAGGAAATGTACAAGTAACTTCCTCAAAGGGTACATAGGAGGTGATTTTTCTGAATCTCCTGGCATTTTGAAAATGTGTATTTTGCTGTCACATTTGATTGAGAGTTTAGATAATTATAAAATCCTAGGTTGAAAACATATTGAAAGCATTGCTTCATTGTTTTTAAGCATTTAGTGCGGCTGTTAAGAAAACTGATGACATTCTCTGTCTTTTTGAGTGACCTTTTATTTTGGGGGCTCTTTTCTCTATCCTTGGAATTCTGAATTTTCACAATATGTGTTGAAGTGGGTCTTTTCATTCATCGTACTAAACACTAGGTGGACCTTTCAATCTGTAGATTTTCTTAGCTTTCATATTTTTCTTTATTAATTTCTCTTTTTTTTTTATTTGTTCTCTGTTTCTGAAACTCTTGTTAGTCAGATATTGGACATCCTAGATGATAGATCCACTTAAGTTGTTTTATTTTTTTCTCTCGTTTTTTGTCTCTTTCTGTTTTTGATTCACTTTTTTGGATGTCCTCAACTTTATTTTGTGCTTGGTGTTGAATTTTTGTATCTGCATTTTTGAAATTTTCATTAATGCTTTTTAAAAATGAGTTTTTTTAGAAAGAATTTTAATTTCCAAAATATTAGGGAGTACAAGTGTTCTTGTTACATGGATGACTTGTATAATGCTTAAGTCAGGGCTTTTAGTGTGCCTGCCACCAGAATAGTGTACATTGTACCCAATAGGTGAGTTTTTATCCCTCAATTTCCTCCCTCCTCCCCCTTTCTTAGTGTACAATGTCTTTTACACCACTTTATGATCATGTGTACTCATCATTTAGCTCCCACTTATTAGTGAGAACATATGGTGTTTGTTTTTCCATTCCTGAGATACTTAGGATAATGTTCTCCAGTTCCATTCAGGTTGCTGCAAATGACATTATTTCATTCCTTTTTATAGCTGAGTAGTACTCCATGGTATATATTATATACCACATTTTCTTTATCCACTCATCAATTGATAGGCTCTTAGGCTTTGCAGTTGTCAGTTGTGCTGTGATAAGCATTCTGGTACAGGTGTCTTTTTGATATAATGACTTCCATTGGGTTTATACCCAGTAGTGAGATTGCTGGGTAGAATGGTAGGTCTACTTTTAGTTCTTTGAGGAATTTCCATACTGTTTTACAGAGATTGTACTGATTTACAGTCCCATCAACACTGTATAAGGGTTCCTTTTTCACCACATCAACACCAACATGTTGTTTTTGATTTTTTAATCCCATTCTGATAGGAGCAAGATGGTATCTCATGTGATTCTAATTTGCATTTCCCTGATGATTAGTGATGTTGAGCATTTTTTCATATGTCTGTTGGCTGTAAGTCTTCTTTTGAAAAACTGTTCCTATTTTGCCTACTTTTTAATGGGGTTGTTTTTTTCTTGCTGATTTGATTGAGTTCTTTGTAGATTCTGGATATTAGCCCTTTGTTGGATGTATAGTTTGCAAATATTTTCTCTCATTCTGTAGGTTGTCTATTCTGTTGATTATTTCCTTTGCTGTGCAGAAACAACTTAAGTCCCATTTATTTATTTTTGTTGTTGCTGTATTTTCCTTTTGGATCTTAGTCATAATTTCTTTGCCTAGACCAATGTTTGGACGAGTTGTTCTTATAATTTCTTCCAGAACTTTTATGGTTTTAGGTCTTATATTTAGGTCCTTAATCTATCTTGAGTTAATTTTTGTATATGGCAAAAGATAGGGATCCTGTTTCTTCTACATGCTATCCAATTTTCCCAGCACCATTTATTGAATAGGTCATCCTTTCCCCATTATGTATTTTTGTCTGCTTTGTTTTAAATTTTCATGAATTCTTTTTAATTCTTGGGTTCTTTTTTTCAAAATTTTTCTCTTTTTGGATATGCTGTCTTCTTGAATGAAGATGGGATTTTTTTTTTTTTACTTTCAATTATCTCTGTTTCCTCCTGGGTAATTTTTTGTTTGCTTATTTGTTTTTCTTGGTCTCTCTCTTGGTGGCTTTCTTCAGAAGGCTTCATGGTAGTCCTTGGTTGTCCGTAGTTAAGGGTAAAGCACTGAAAAACCTAGTGGGAACATCAGTCATTGGATTGTTAAAATCAGGCTTTGGAGCTGGCTGTTGTGCTGTGGAAATTCTTAATGCCAACATGCAGAAATCTTTTCTCTGTAACTACTTATTTTTTCAAGAAGGGAAATCTCATTTTTTTCTATGTCCCTTTTTACCCATTTGGCCGGAGAAGAAGTGGCAGCATGGCACCGGAGGTTAGATAAATAGACTGTTCTACAAATGGACTTTGAGTTAACTCTGTCAGCTCCAGATTTCATTTTCTGAAATTTTGGTTTTTTTCTTTTAAATATCTCTCTCTTTCATCCTCTTTGTTGTAGGATATGTGTACCTTTTTATAATTTAGTGTGTTCAGTCTAACTTGCTTACCTAGAAATCCTCCCTCATATATTTTTGAATAGAGTCTCTTTCTAAACACCTGTCAGACAGTTACAGAAAAGTGATGAGTGACTAGAACTGGATTGTATTAATATAAGGTAGAATTGAAGATGGGTCATTCATGTATTTTCTTTCAATGAACATTCAGCACCTTGTATATGTCAAACTATGTACCTGATTCTGGATGAGCCTCTCAGTACTCTCTATGATTAGGTATAGAACATTTTTAGGAGATTTCTTTGTCTGTAATACCTAATCAGCTTCTCTGGTGGTTAAAGTCTTACTCTCTTTTGCATGTGCACCAGGTTAAACTCTAGGGATGTGGCTGTCTGTGTCATTGGAGTAACTGTTTGATTGCTCACCTTAAGAAATGGAATAGAGTTCAGATGTGTGGGAATTATCAGTTTTATTGACCTCCATAAACTTACTAGAGGTTGTGTATTTGTTGGGTCTCTAATCTAATAGAGCTATATTGAGAAAAAGAAATTTAGGAATATAAGGCAAATTGTGAAATGTAGTAGCATTAAATTTGTTTTAACATGCTAACTGAGAAGATGTTTTCAATGTTGGTTTTAAGATTACAGAGAAATCCAAAACAAATGAGTTTTGACATATTCTTTTCTTTGAACATAAAGAGTGACATGTCTTCATGGGC